GGCTGGGTTACTCAGTTGGTTGGAGCATTGTCTCATATACCTAAAGAATGCAAGTATAATTTCTGCTCAGGGCATTTATATAGGTTGAGGGTTTGATCCATGGTGGGGTCATGTATGAAAGGCAAACAATTGACGTTCTTGCCTTTCATCAATCTTTCTCTCTTTCTCTTCCTTTCTCTATATCTAAAATTAATAATAGATATATCCTTGGGTGAGGATTAAAAAAGTATATATCAGAAAGAAATAAATGATTTGGAGTCTAAGACAACAACATAGAAATCAATGAAACCAAAATTTGGTTATTTGAAAAGATAAACAATGTTGGCAAAACTTTAACCAGGCTCAAAGAGAAACACAGAGAGAGGACCAAAAAGAATAAAACCAAAAATAAAAGATGAGAAGTAACAACCGACACCAAAGAAATACAAAAGATTGTAAGAAAATATTACTAACAACTATATGTCAACAAGTTGGACAATCTGGAAGAAATGGATAAATTCCTAGAAATACATGATCTTCCAAAATTGAATCAGGAAGAATCAGAGAATCTGAATAGACAGATTGCAACCAGTGAGATAGAAGCAGTAATCACAAACCTATGAACAAACAAAAGTCCTGGACCAGATGGCTTCACCAGTGAGTCTTACCAAATACTCAAAAAAGAGCTAACATATATCTATCTCAAACTATTTCAAAAAAATTCAAGAGGAGGGAAGACTTCCAGATAATTTTATGAGGCTAGCATTGTTCTAATTCCCAAACCAGATAAGAACACTACAAAGAAGGAAAATTATAGGCTAAGATCCTTGATGCACATAGATGCTAATCCTCAAAAAAATTAGCAAACCAGATCCAGCAATGCATTAAAATAACCGTAGAACATCATCAAGTGGGATTTAGACCAAGGATACAAGTATAGTACAATATCCACAAATCAATAAAACTGATACACCATATAAACAAAGCAAAGGATAAAAGCCATATTATTATATAAATAGGCACAGAAAAAGCATTTGATAAAATTCAGCACCCATTAACAATAAAAACTCTCAGCAGAGTGGGGATAGAGATAACATACCTCAACATAATAAAGGTCATAGTTGACAAACCCACAGCCAACATCAAACTCAATGAGCAAAAACTATGAGTATTTCCCTTAAGATGGGGAATGATACAGGGATGTCCACTTTCACCACTCTTACTTAACATAGTACTAGAAATCCTAGCCACATAAATCTGGCAACAAGAAATAAAAGGAATCCAAATTGCAAAGGAAAAAGTAAAACTGTCATTATCTGCAGATGACATGATACTGTACAAAACCCTAAAGATTCCACCAAAAAGCTACTAGAATAGGTAAAAATTCAATAAAACCACAGAATACAAAATAAATATCCAGAAATCAGTTGCATTTTTATACACCAATAATAAACTATCAGAAAGGAAAATTAAGAAAACAATCCCATTAACCATTGCTTCAAAATCATACTAAGGAATAAATTTAACCAAGGATGTAAAATACCTGTACTCAGAAAATTATAAGACACTGATGATAAATAAAGAACATAAAAATAAGTAGATGCATATACCTTATTCATGGCTTGAAAGAACTAACATCATGAAAATATCCATACTACCCAGAGCAATCTATAGATTCAACACAATTCCTGTCAAAATACCAATGGCATATTTCACATAACTAGAACAAGTATTTCAAAACTTTACTTGGAGCTACAAAAGACCCCAAATAGCAACAACACTCTTGAGAAAGAAGAAAAAAGTTGGAGGAATTATGATACCTGATACTAAGCTTTACTACAAGGCCACAGTAATCAAACAGCATGGTATTGGCATTTAAAAAAAAAAAGACATATAGATCAAAGAACAAAATAGAGAGCCCAGAAATAAACTTCCACCTTTATAGTCAATTAATATTTGATAATGAAGGCAAAAAATACAGTGAGGCAAAGATAGCCTATTCAATAAATGGTGTTAAAAAATTGGACATATACATGCAGAAAAAATAAAACCAGACCACTTTCTTACACCATACACAAGAATAAACTCAAAAGAATTAAAGACTTAAATGTTAGACTTGAAACAATAGACATCCTAGAAAAAAAACATAGCCAGTAAGATCTCTGATATTCCTCACAGTAATATTTTTCTAAAACATCTGCTTGAGTAAGAGAAATGAAAGAAAAATAAACAAATGGAACTACATCAAAGTAAACAGTTTTTGCACAGCAAACAACACAATAAAAAACAATCCACTAAATTGGAGAATATATTTGCCAATGATATATCTGATAAGAGGTTAATATCCCAAATTTATAATAAACATAAAACTCAACACCAAAAAGAGAAATGACTCAGTTAAAAATGGGCAAAGGACCTGAGTAGACACTTCTCCAAAGAGGAAATACACATGGCTAATCAATATATGAAAAGATGCCAAATATCACTAATCATTGGAGAAATGCAAATTAAAACCACAATGAGAAAACACCTCACACCTGCCAGAATGGCTCTCATAAATAAATCAACAAACAGCAAGTGCTGGTGAAGATGTGAAGAAAAGGGAACCCTAACACACCATTGGTGGGAATGCAGACTGGTGCACTCACTGTGGAAAGCAGTATAGAGTTGCCTCAGAATATGAAAAATAAATTTGCCTTATGACCCAGTGATTCCACTTCTAGGATTATTTCCAAGAATCCCAAACCACTAATTTGAAAGAATATATGCATCTCTATGTTCACTGCAGCATTATTTGCAATGGTCAAGATCTGGAAACAGGCCATAAATTGATTAGTGGATAAAAATGCTGTGGTATATTTATACAATAGAATACTACTCAGCCCTAAAAAAGAAGGAAATTTTATACTTTGCAACAGCATGGATGAACCTGGAGAGCATTATGCTAAGTGAAATAAGCCAGTCAAAAAAAGACAAGTACTATATATGTGGAATCTAATGAACAATATAAACTAACCAACAAAGTAGAAACAGACTCATATGCGCAGAAAAAGCATGGTGAGATACGAGGTGGAAGGGGAGTAAGGTAGAAGAAGATGTAGTGGTGATAAATGGTGACAGAAGGAGACTTGATTTGGGGGTGGTGTACAGACAATATCATATATCATTGATGTATTATAGAATCATACACCTGAAGCCTATATAGTTTTATTAACCAATGTCACCTCAATACATTCAATTAAAAATGAGGAAAAACAGACAACCACACAAAAATTTGCATGTGACTGTCCATAGACAAATTTATTTTATAAATAGCTAAAAGATATTAACCTAAATGTTGATCAGCTGTTGAATAAATTAACAAATTTGGTATATCCATACAATGGAATATTACTAAGCTGCAAAAAGAATAAAGCATACATCTAGTTTTGGTGGAGGTGGGTATAAGGTATAATGAGGGGTGACTGCAAACAAGAATGGGCTTCTTTTAAGGGAGATGAAAATGTTCTGAAATTAGATAGCAGTGATAATTGTACCACCTTGTGATTATGCTAAAAACCACTTCATTATACACTTTAAAACTGTAACTTTATGCTGTCACAAAGGGCAGGAGCTCCTTCTGTCTTTCTGCTGCATACTATTTCATTGTGTAAATGTCCCAGAGTTTTTTTATCCATTATTTTACTAATGGGCACTTAGGGTGCTCCCAGCACTTGGCTATTATAAATTGTGGAGTGCATAGGTTCTTTTGAATTGGTGTTTCAGGATTCTTAGGGTATAATCCCAGCTGTGGAATTTCTGTGTCAACAGGCAGTTCTATATTTAGTTTTCTGAGGAAATTCCATACTGTTTTCCACAGCGGCTGCACCAGTCTGCAATCCCACCAAAGTGAACTAAGGTTCCTTTTTCTCCGCAGTCTCTCCAACACTTGTTGTTTGTTGCTTTGTTTATGATGGCCATTCTCAATGGTGTGAAGTGGTATCTCATTGTGGTTTTAATTTACATCTCTCTGATGGCTAGTGACGATGGAACTGGAAAGCATTATGCTAAGTGAAATAAGCCAGGCAGTGAAAGACAAATACCATATGATCATACCTATACACATATATGTAGAACCTAATCAATGAGACAAACAAGCAAGCAAAATATAATCAGAGGCATTGAAATTAAGAACAAACTGACAGTAACCAGAGAGGATGTGGGAGGGAATAATGTGGCAGAAGTGTGGAAGGGTTTTCAGGAACAACTATAATGGACACATGGATAAAACCAAGGGAGGGCGGGATCAGGGGAGGGAGGGAGGCATAGCTGCAGGGGGATGATGGGGAGAAAATAAAGACAACTGTACTTGACCAACAATAAAAAAACTATAACTTTATGATATATAAATGGTAATTTGATATAGCTATTTAGAAAGTAATAGCTTTCATATGTACAAGTAATAAGCTGTTAGAAGGTGAGGTAGAAGTGAAAATTCCATTTACAATAAAACCAAAAATATTTGCAATAGATTTACAAAGGAAAGTACAAAATGTATATAAGGAAACTTAAATTCTCTTGAAAAATACTGTAGATTTTCATTGCACACTTTCCTGGTTCCTTCTGATGCTTTTGTATGTGTGCCTATAACTATATAAAGTCTCCATTTTCACCACAAACAAACTTTGGAGAATGTATTCTTGTTTTTAACATGCATGAAATCAAACAAAATGAAACAAAATATTTAAAAAACAAACAAAAAAGAAATGAAAATACAAAACATTCCTGATAATCTTACTTTTTTACTATTTTAATGAGCATATTTTTACAAAAAGAATTGTTTTTCTAAATGTAAACTCTCACTTGATTAGTGTCGACCACCATGTTATAAATGTAATTTGTTTTGCTAGTACTTTATTGTCATATTTTTGTTTTACTGAGAAAACTAATCAGGGTCATTTTTCAAGAAAAAAAAGTTCTTGGTAATCTGGAGCTTTCTTTAGATGATATCAACTGACAAGTAAATGTCATGTTTTGTACAGTCTCACTGTGAGAAACCAAGAACAGACACCCAGGACAGCTTCCCATGAACTCAGAAGAGATGACACTCCAAACCATGAAGAAAGGTAAAATCTCAATTGTTTAGCTCATTGAGTTGACAGAAGTGCTTGCTTTATTACTTTTTGCACTATATGTTTCAATAAACACAAAGTTTCTGTGCATGCAATTTGCTAATACCCCCAAATCATAAAGTGGCATCACATTTTCGATGCAGAATTCTTTTTAACTTACTGTGTGATAGGGTCAAAAATCAGTTCCATCATTAATCTAAATGCCTACCAATCTCAAACATAAATTGATGCTTCTTGACAAATATATGACACTATTTTATTTTTATATGGTATGCTTTAAGACCATAATGAAACATACACAACTGGTTTTCAGGAAAGTTTTAAAAGTCCATTTTTTTTCTAAACTATTGACTTAAACTTCCATTAATGACTATTTTTTTAAATTTAACTAAAAAATCACTTAACAAATAAATTACTTTCCATAATGCCAAATTTTAAAATTTCTTCTCATCTGTAGTATTTATTGCTTTATTTTAACCTATGTATCCTTATTCCTTTCTTCGGTATTATGGGTATTTAATTGAAAATCCAAACCAATATCCTAAAATCATTGTTCAAATAGGTCTTGTACTAAATTTTTTACTTTTTAAAAAATATATTTTCTTTATTTATTTCTAGAGATAGGAGAAGGGAAGGAGAAAGAGAGGGAGAGAAACATCAATGTGTGGTTGCACTTCGTTCTGGGGACCTGGCCTGCAACCCAGGCATGTGCCCTGACTGGGAATCAAACTGGCAACACTTTGGTTGGCAGGCCCACGCTCAATCCACTGAGCTACACCAGCCAGGGTAAATTGTTTACTTTTGAAAGGACAACGGAATTAGCCTAAAAGGTTAATTACTGTATTTTGCCATGTATAATGCACACTACGTTTCTGTGTGCACTATACAAAGGATTATTATAACCATCATATGTAATCATTATGCCCATGTATAACACACATCCTTATTTTTTCCTCAAATATTTGCACCAAAAAATGTGCATTATACATGGTGAAGTATGTAAATATTTTCTTCTTTCTTTCTTTATTTATTTTTACCCAGATTTTTCAAAGTCTGGGAAGCACATCAAAATCTCCCACAACTTATTAGTTTCTTAAAAACAGCTTTTATTTTACATATTCCAGTAAAATGTATTCTGTACCAAAGCTTTAAGACTGCTACATCTGAAACCAGAATTCCTACATCTAGTCCTAGCTGTACCCATCCTGCCTATGGGTCCTGGGAACCCTGTGCACTTGACTTAGTAGCCATATCATGCCTCGGTTTCCTTATATGTAAAATGGGGATGATAATAGTTTGTCGAAGCTAAGCCAAAAATGTCTCGTTGTAAATACTAAATAAGACCAGTAAAGCACTGAGAATAGAGCCTGGCAAAAGGCAAGCATTCAATACATGTTTCTATTATTAGTTCTCAATTACATCCAATAATATAAAATGACTTTTTTACAACTTAATTCCATTTATGCTTCCATTTCTACTTAGATATTGTTATTTTTATTTGCATTTGCCTCATATTTCTTTGCCTTGTACTTGTTTTTAATTTTTGGTAATATTTTATATGTTTCCCCAAAATAGTATTATGTTACATTTGACCCAGTTTCAGTCTCTGTCTCTAAATAGAGAATTAGAATACAATTACGTTAAGTCAGTTATTTTAATGAGCACTGATATGTATAATCTTACAGCATATTCTTTGATAGTCTGCTTGTAATACCTAATTACTTATTTTTTTCTTTTTTAAAATTTTTATATTTTTTTTATTACTTGCTATGGGAACTGTGCTTTCTTTGCTTTTAGGTTCTTCAGTACTATGGAAATTGTATGCTCTCTCTTTTAAAAAAATGCCTTTAACTTTTTCAAAACAATTCTTTTATATATATTTTTTAATTGACAGTAAAAAAAGGATGTATTTTGATTTTTCATACTTAAGGAACATAATTTAGCCTCCTTTATAGTAAACCTCACCAATTTAATGGGAATCTTTATAAAAAGAATTCAGGATTTTTATGTAGATTACTTTATTTTTAAATTTTCCTTTCAATATCATTTAAAACATTTTGAAAACTAAGTTTCTAGCTAACTAGTTAACTAGAAAACTAATTTTCTATATTATGTTTCCATTTTTTCATGAAGTAAATTTAAATACCCACTATAAAAACAAAAATGAAATAAACAGAAGTTTTACAATTAAAAAAATCTTTCATACCTGATCCCAATCTCCAGATATACTATCTGCCACCCACAGCTTTTTATGTATCCTCCAAGGAATTCTCTGTGCATTTGCACACAGCTGTGCTGAAATGGAATCCATAGTCCATACTGAATCTAATTTTGATACTAACCATGAAACAATTGTTTAGACATTTGTGATTGTTTTCTCTGCTATTTTTCTATAAGCTTCTTTCTCTGGTCTTGCGCTTTTCATTTATGTTACAGTGCTGGGTCAGTTGTAATCATCTTCAAGATATGATTTCAAGAAAAGAACATAGAATTTACATTGTAAATATTTTATATGTGAGAGTGTTTTTCCTATGACCTTCATGTAATTAGGACAAGTTATCTACACAGCAAATTCTTTGGAATACATCCTTTACCCCTCAAAGCTAAAAAAGAGAGTTTTTGGCCTTGTGTCAGAGTACATAATCTGAGGGCCTTCCCAATGCAGAACAACAGATTTTTGCATTAATCTAAAAGTCTTTGCATTCTTGAGCTCACAGAAAGTAAGAAAAGTGAGGAAATACCTGAAGAACACAACCAAATAAGATGTAAGCAAAACCCTGAGTAGTGACTGCTAAGCACAGGAAAGAGGGGTTTTCTTTAAGAGCTAGTGCAGAGTAGGGTGAGGGCAAGGTGTTGAAACTGAGGCTCCCGGATTAAGCTTTGATCCCTAAAATGGTCCTGGGTCATTTACACATGCTAGACCTCAGAAAAAGCAAATACACGTCCTCTCTGGAGAGAAGAAAACATCCTCAATTTCAACTCTCAGTTTGCCAAAGATTATGACCAACCCAAAGGAAACAAACTACCACAAACAAGAGTAAGTAAAAACGACACCTGGATTTAGAGCCCAAAGGACTAAAGATGTTGTAAGTATCTGTAATAAAATATACAATAATGGTCTCAGAAATCTTAAGGTCTCAATAAAAAATGGAATCACAAAAATGAGTAAGCAGAATTCAACTGTCAACAATGTCCAAGATGACTGTGAAGTTGTACTATAGTTTTGCAAGATGCTACTTTGGGGGAAATGGGGCAAATGGTACATAGGATCTCTCTGTTTTATTTTTTTCTTACTTTTTGAATATTATTTTTGAAAGCCAGAAATGCACTTTTATTGAAGCCAGAAGTCCAAAATCAAGATGTGAGCAGGGCCATGCTCTCCAGCAGCTCTAGGAGAGAACCATTCCTTGCTTCTTCTAGCCTCTCTAGTACTTGCCAGCAATCCTGGGCATTCCTCATCTCATAGATATTTCATGGCAGTCACAAGACTATATCTTCCTTGTGCATCTTTACATGGTCTTTCCTCAGTGTGTGTCTGTCTCTGTTTGTAAGAACACCAGTCATATTGGATTAGGGCTCACTGTAAAGACCTCATCTTACCTTGATTACCTCTTTAAAGATCCTAGTTACAAATAAGGTCACATCCTGAGGTACTGAGAGCTAAGATTTCAACATCTCTTTTTTATAAGGGAACCTAATAACACCTCCCCACAAAATAATACTGGATCCAGTTGGTTTTACAGATTAGTTCCACAAAACATTTCAGGAATTGATCATTCCAATACTACATGTCTAACTACCCAAAAGTCTAAGAGGCAGGTGTAACAGTGGTACCAAAACCCAGTGAGGACAGTACAAACATGGAACATCAGAGATGAATCCTGCTCAGGAACTCTGTCGGGTCATATACAGCAGCGTGGGTGAATCTTAGACACTTAGTGTTGGGTAAAAAAAGCAAATTGCTGAAGCCATTTTTATAAAGTAAAAAAACATAAAAATACATTTTCCAAGGATATATACATACATACACAGTAACTATTTTTTAAAAGGGGATAAGAAAAAAGACCATTGTTAAACAGACCATGTTTTCTGACCCCAATATAATTAAATTTATTTAATTATACAATTAAATATAATTATTTAATTTCTGACCCAATATAATTAAATATAAGTAAATAATCAACTCAGGGAAAACCCAAGGTCAAGAAAAATGGTTCCCTTAGGGATGGGGAGTCAGAGAGCAATGTGTGAATATGGTGCCAAGGTAAATGCAGCTGTTGGTGATGACCTGGTTCTTAAGGTAAATGGTGAATTCATAAATGTTCATTTTTACTGTCACCCTTCTTAACCCACAATTATATAACATATTCTTCTCTCCTCTCTAGAATTCTCTTTTGAGTTTTAAAAAATACTAAATAGACACTGCCTCATTGCATTGCTATTTTGGAAATTAGTGTGGTCAGGGCTGACTTAGGTCTGTCACATGACTGGGGAGTGTTTACTCAGATGATTATAGGATCTTTCTTTACTTCTATAATTTAAAAACTTTTCTAGGATGTGCCTAGATGTAAACAAGTATGTTCTCAGCAGTTGCTCTAGCAATTTGGTTCGCAAGCATTTGGGCAGTAGCCATGCAATCCAGTTAACAATTTGAAAATATCAAATTCATGTGTTTTTGCTAAAGATTTAAGGACACCAAGAAGAGCTCTTTCCCTTCCTAAAATGACCTAAGTACACACTTTTATTCCCAGAGAGTTAAAATATGGGTTTCTAGTGATGAAATTCAAATTAACTATCACTAACATAGCCCCCTTTTGCCCTTTCCTCTGATCTCTGCTAAGCACCACTCCTACTCCGGAAGAGGTGAGCTCCTGGGCGCAGTCCTTCGACAAGCTAATGCTCACTCCCGCGGGAAGAAATGCTTTCCGTGAGTTCCTCCGAACGGAATTCAGTGAAGAAAACATGCTTTTCTGGATGGCATGTGAGGAACTGAAAAAAGAAGCTAATAAAAGCATTATTGAGGAAAAGGCAAGGATCATATATGAAGACTACATTTCTATTCTTTCTCCTAAAGAGGTATGCACCTCTCAAAAGGTTTTGCCCCAGGAGGCTGTGGATAAAATTAACCCCATCAGTGTTTGGTCACATGGCACAGTTACAGCTACTCCAAATATAGAAAGTGACCTACTATTCATAATAAAATTACCCTTGAACACAACGCTGCTTTAAACTGTGCAGGTCCACTTATATGTGGATTTTTCCCAATAAATACAGTAGAGTACTGTAAATATATGTTTCTATTCCTTGTGCTTTTTTTGATAAAATTTTTTCTTTAGCTTACTTTATTATAAGAATATAGTATATAATACACATAATATACAAAATAAGTGTTAATTGACTGTTCATATTACCACTAAGGCTTCCAGTCAACAGAAACCTATTAGAAAAGTTCTGGGGTGTCAAAAATTGTATGTGGATTTTCAACTACACGGTGGTCAGTGCCCCTAATCCTCCTCTTGTACAAGGGTCAACTGTATTCAAATCCTTTTGACTATGGTCCCACAAATGGACTTTAATACACCCTGAAATCTGTGAAAGATTTTGTGTATTTTTCTGGAAAGAAGTATGCACAACTTTCATTAGATTATCCAGAAGGGGTATTCTATGCATTTTAATATTAATACTGCTTAAAAATAGTACACGCCATCAGCATTTCTTTAAATAAAATTATCCTTTAATTCTGAGCAAAATATTTTCTATAGGCATCTTTATTTTATATGGTAACATCACTAATACACTGGTGCTTCAGAGTTTTTCCCCAGGATGTCCTTTTTTAATATCAGAGAAGTTATGAGTGAAATCAAGCAAGTTTTCATCTCTCAGAGTTTTTGTTCCTTCAATGTCAAAATGTAGATTAGATAGATCTCAAAAGAAAGTGCCTTGTAGCTCTAATTATAAAATATTCATGATTCCTACTATGTACTAAGAATATAAAGGTAATAAAACAGGGCCTCTCCTGACAGGGAACTCACACTCAGGGGTCAGAATGACATGGAGCCCCTAACAGGGTCTCACAGGGGTGGATGCAGTGACACATCAATAGTGGGGAGGGGCAGGAATGAGAGAGATGTACTGGGAGAGGCCTAAGACCGACCGAGGATAATAAAAAGGAAATTATAAGAAACACAATGGATGAAGACATCCAAGAAGATAGGACTAGATGGGCCAGGAATAAAAGAATTTAGTCACATCACAGTGGAAATGTCAATAGTTTGGTGTGGCACATTGACCAAACATTTAGGGCACATAGCAAGCAACACGAGGAAATTAAGAAAAGTGAATTGTCTGAGAGCATCAAGAAATTGGGAACCATGCTGAGCTTTTCTGCTGTCTATCTGGGGTGCCCTTGGATTTTAGATTGGTACTGTTATTAAATTTGAAGTTTGCAAGACCAATATGGCTGCAGAATGGATTAGGAGAAGACCAGAAGCAGGGCGCTGAGTAGTTCAAACAGATGTGATAAGAACCTGAGAGGCCTAGAGAGGCTTCTCCAGTCATGAGTGCAGCTCTGCAGATAAGCTTGGGGGTTGGGAAGCCTTCCCAGGACAGGGAGTGACATCTAAACCAAGATCCGAAGGAAAGAAGTACACAGCCAGGAGGAGGAGGGGGAAGGTGTATTCTAAACAGAAGCAACAAAGACAAACTAATTCTATCTCCTTTTTTTTTTGTTAAATTCCAACTGAAATCCAAGTTCTTTAAATTTGTGCATGAAATAGTGAGCTGGGAAATTAGTGGAAGCAGATCATGAAAGGGCTCATAAGTTTCAACTCGGAACTCATAATAAGCCTTGGACTTGATCCTGAGAGCACAGCAAGTCAGTGCAAGGGCTGAAGCTGGAGTGTCTGGGTTTGCACTTTAGAAAGATCCCTCTGACTGACCCAGAATCTATTTAACAAGCCTTCTAGAGGCTTCTGCTGCCACTAAAGTTTGAAAACCCCTTGTCATTATGCATTCACTTTCTTTTGTCAGTTTAGATTTTTGAATGACCTTGGTTGATTTGGGATTTTTAAAAACCAGAACAAGCTATGGGAGTTTGGGATGGATTTCCCAAGAAAACCGTATCTAATACCCCTCTTATTTGTTTCTATTGACAGGTCAGCTTAGACTCCAGAGTAAGAGAAGTCATCAATAAGAACATGGTGCAGCCATCCCAACACATATTCGATGATGCACAACTCCAGATTTACACCTTAATGCACAGAGACTCGTATCCCCGATTCATGAATTCTGCTGTCTATAAAGATTTGCTCCAGTCCTTATCTGAGAAATCAGCTGAAGCATAGGATGTTATAAAATATATTTATTATTAATAAAATAATAAAAACTCATGGATGAAGTCTAGTACAGGGAGTTCAGAGGTGTCTTCTGCTGGTGTTAATACTCAGGCTATTTTAATAGCAGATGCTTCCTTCCACAGAAGGTGATATATTTTCAATATAAATTGCAGCCACCTTTAGTGATACTTTTGAAAAAATGGATATGGCTGTATTAGAAAGATAGTATATTTACATTTACAGTAACAGTAACATATCCTGAGTGGCAAAGGATACACTAGAAGACTCCATACTGCCTGGAGCATGTACATCCACTGGAGCACACTGGGCTGGTTTTGTTTTCCATGAGTTCAGTACCTGATTACTAGCTTCCCAAAGAAAAGATGTTCAAGTGTTTCTCTTGAAAGAGTTCAAGATACTCTCTTTCCAGCAAGATCAGTTTTGGATATGTCCAAAGCTATCGGACATATCCAAATGGCTTTGGACGTATCCACTTACCAGAGCCACTCCAAACCCAAATTCCCACTTCTTAAAGATGTGACCACTTCTTATAAAAAATGATTATCCGCTTCTTATAACCTTGGAATACATGTATGTAGATACACATGTGTGTGTGTGTGCCTCTATCTATGGTTAATGTAAAGTGCTGTGCCCTGAAGTGCATCAGTCTCAAATGTTTGGTAAGAGAAGTAGTGCTTAGAAAATACTTTTTTTTGAAAATTTACCATTATCTTATCAGAATCTGCCAACCTAAGGAACAAATTGTTAAGTTCACCACTTGGTCATATTCATAAAAAACTCTCAAACAAGCACATTTCCACTTTATTATTGAAATAAATATGGGCATTTTCACTTAAAAAAATAAAGCACAAGAATTTTACCTCAATCTTTAGTTTTTTGCATGTAAATATTTGGGAAATATAAAAGTAAATAGGGATACATGCAAAATATCTCTTAGCTCCCATACAAGACTTCTGCTTTTAGATCCCACTATTTTTATGACAGGCAAATGAAATAACTTCATAGCTTGCTCAAGGTCAAAATACTGGTTTGTAAACCCAAACATCCTAAAGAGAAGCCTATCACTACTAAAAATCAGAAAGACATCAACAATGAGGTGACTGTGAAAGACATCCAAGTCTGGAATTGTTTGAAGAGTGGGTTAGAAATTAATTGGCAAGAGGCCTACAGCATGTTTTGGCCCTAAATGGGATGCTTTCCTCTCAATTATCTACCTCACCTGGCTCTTCAGCCTCACAATTTCTGTATTACTTTCTTCAAATCCCAAACCTAAGCCCTTCACCCTTGCTCTTAGTAAACCATTTTACCTCCTAATCTACTATGACAATGGTGTCCCTAACCCTCTTCAACAACCTGTGTAATCTATAAATACATATAGATCAGCCTCTATCCCTGCCTCCTTCAGTCCAGTCCCAAAGAATGAAGTTTTATTTCCTCCTTTCCAAGACATCAACTTCTTACATGTTTTTATTCCATATTTTTCATTCCAAAATATTCCATAATTTATTCTTTTCTTTTCATTAGATTAAGAGAACATAACTGTGATTAAGGCATAAACCCTGACCTTTAGTACTTTTCATTCAAGTATGGGCTACAGATGTGTCCATGATGGCTACAATGAACTGTAGTTAAGTAGTATAACAGTGAAGAACTAAGCTGTGGAGTCTTGAAGAGCTATGGAATGGTTTCAGCAGAGGCAACACCAAAGCTAAAACCAATAGAACAAAATATATATATATATATGTGTGTGTGTGTGTGTGTGTGTGGGGGGGGGGGTGTGGAGGTATAGGGCAGGTGTTTATAATTGAAGCAACTCCAAACAAAATGCTGGGTAGGATGTAAGTGGAGAGAGCTAGTGATTGAGATTTTAGGATGGACTATTGACTTTGAGATTTTTCAACACGTGGATGAATGAGAGTTACAGTATAGGAAGAGCTGAGGAAGAATCTTTGTAAGGATGGAGGAAAACAAGAATTCCCCAAAGAGATTTGGAAGGATCTGGCTCCTCAATACAGGAAAGAAGAAAGCAAGGGCATGTAGGGGTATAGCAGCAAATGAATGGGAGTGCTCCAAGGAGCCAGTGGTACACAGTGGTAAATTAAATGCTTTTACCTCGAACTTTGCTCCATCGACTTTTTCCTACTCTCTGATATCTTCACCTTGACTTTTCCCATACCATAAATATCCTTGGATTCCCAAGTTAAAGAGAAACCTACCTTATATGACTGGTGATTCTTCCTCCTCATCAGACTTTTCACAATAGTCCACTCCTGCTGTCTCCATGCCTTATCTCCTCGTTCACTCCCTGAACAGTCCAGGGAGGTGTCCATCAGTCAAGTCTAACACCATTTTCCTGGTCTCTTCTCCGTGGACTGCTCAGGTTCCTGACATCACTGACAATGCCTTGTTGGAACCACCATTTCCCGTTCTTTTGAGGTGCTCTCCTCACTCTCCATATTCTCTTTCACCTTTATTCGTAGGTGGCAGAGCACAGCAGCCAAGGGTTGGGTTGTGAAGCTAGACTTTCTAACTCTTCCATTTACTGTGTGGAGCCTTTCTGGATCTTTTTCTTTTCCATAACAATGGGGACAATCATGGTACTGTATCCCTAGCATTGCCGTGAGAACTAAAACTACCAATCCATGTAAAATACAGCAAGCATTTACTATGTGGCAGTTATTGCTGTTATTACTTGCCCATTAGATGACATGGCCCCTAACTTTTGGGCTTTGTCTTACTTTTCTGACTAATCTATCTTGGCTCTCATATCCCCTCCTCATTGTTTAAATAACTATCAGTATACTCATGGCTACCAAGCAGGATCTAGTCTAGCTTTCTCCTGAACCTCAGAATTAGCTGCTGGCTGGACATCTCCACTTGTATATTCTTAGGATGAGTGAAACTCATTGTAATTTTGACTTATCTCCCCACCCCCTCACCCTCCTCCTAGCTCAGCCCCTGCCTATAGCCCTAATCGGTTAGCCAGTCACCAAACCTCATATATGGCTGTTAAATTTGACTCTTCCCACTCTTTCTCCTCTCAAATAGAATCACCAAGCTGTGCTAATTTTATCTCCTAAATATTTCTTATGTTTCTCTTCTCCTCTCTCTGACCCCATTATCTCTCACCTGTCAGCATCATTGCCCAAAGGCCTTGTAACAGGTCTCCCTGCAACCATCTCTGCCATTCAAATCTATCTTTCAAAATGCCAAAGGGTGGTCATTCTCATATACACATCCACTTGTTACTGTCCCTCCACTCCTTAGAATCTTTAGTAGCTACCAATCACCTGGAGTACAAATACCAAAGTTTTGGCATTGTGTATAAGCAAGGTCCTCTGTAGTTGGGTCACCGACTCCCTACCTATCCTCACACACATTTTAGACTCTAGAATATATGCTTATGGAAAAGTTACATATACAACATCACACTTTTCTAAAGGCTCATGAGAATTTGATTTATACTTTCTGTATTCCCTACCCCCTCTCTAAAATGCCACCCTTCACTCAGCTAACTTCTATCATTCCTTTAAAATTTACCTCACATATTACCCCCTCCAAGAAACCTCACCTGACCTCCTAAGTCATATTTCCATTGTGTGGGGTGCCATTCTCTAGCATTCCAGGACTAACGTGTTCCAATATTTGTCATCTCAGTTGGTGAGATCCAGGGGCATTGAAAATGTACCTTAACAATTATTTTATATATAATAAAGTCATTTTTCACTTAGAAATGGATATATGTTCTGAGAAATGTGTTGTTAGGAAATTTCTTCAGTGCAGGAATATTGTAAAGGTGCACTTACACAAACCTAGAAGGTACAGCCTACTACACACCTAGGCTGTGGGGTATGGCCTATTGCTCCTGGACTACAAACCTGTACAGCATTTTACTGCACTAAATACTGCAGGCAACTGCAACACAATGGTAAGTATCTGTGTATCCAAATATATCTAAATATAGAAAAGGTACAGCAAAAATATAGGATAAAAGATAAAAAATAGTGCTGCTGTCTATAGCACTTACCACAAGTAGAGCTTGCAGGAGTGGAAGGTCCTCAGGGTGAGTCACTGAGTTGTGAGTGAAGGTGAAGGCCTAGGGCATCGCTGTGCACTACTGTAGACTTTATAAGCACTGTACCCTTAGACTACACTAAATTTATAAAACAACACAATATTAAGTCAAGAGATTTAACACAAGCTTGCAAAGAAAATGATACAATCAAGAGACACAGTATGTATGAGGCTCTGCCGGTATAATATGGCATATGGTTTCACGGTCAATTTTTCTTATAAGTAAAAAAGGGAACACTCTGAAATGATAATAAAAGTATAGTATTGCATAGTAAATACACAAACCACTAACATAGTCATTTATTATCCCTGTCAAGTATTAGAATTGAACACAACTGTATGTACTATACTTTTATTTGACTAGCAGCTCAGTAGATTTGTTTATACGAGTATCATCACAAATGTGTGAGTGTGGCTAAAATGTGTTAAGGTGGCTTAGACATCACTGGGCAATAGCAACTTCTCAGCTCTATTATAATCTTAGGGGACCACCATCATATATGCAATCCATTGTTGAATGAAATGCCATTATGTAGCACATGACTCTATTTAGCCTAGAGCAATATTCAATAGAAGTAGAATTGAAAGTTTTAACACAAAAACTGAACTTCCTATAGCTATAAAAGAAAAATTCCATTTCAAATTTGTTTTGTAATGTGTCACATCTCAGAGAAATATCATCACAGCCGATGTGACCACAGAATTGTTAATATGGATCAGTTCGGTGGATAAATCTGTAGTGCCATCTATGTATATGAATAAATCCTGAAGTCACTACCAAAGTATCTTACAAATTCAATGCAATTCCAAGATTTTTTTTGTAAAATTTAAAAATAAAATCTGACAAGCTGATTTTATTACAATAGATAGTTCTCCATTTGGAAAAATATGTATGTAAACAAATATAAATTCCAAATGGTTAAAAGACCTAAAAGCCTTTTTTAAAAGAATGTTATAAGAATCAGAATGGCCATCACAAACAAGTCAACAAACAACAAGTACTGGAGAGGACGTAGATAAAAGGGAATCCTAGTACACTGTTTTTAGGAATGCAGACTGGTGCAGCCACTGTGGAAAAGAGTGGGGAATTTCCTAAAAAAACTAAAAATGAAACTGCCTTTTGACCCAGCAATTCCACTGCTAGGATTATACCCTAAGAATCCTGAAACACCAATTCGAAAGAACCTATGCACCCCTATGTCCACAGCAGCACAATTTATAATAACCAAGGGCTGGAAACAGCCTAAGTGCCCATCAGTAAATGAGTGGATCAAAAAGCTGTGGAATACTATGCAGCAGAAAGAAGAAGGAGCTCCTATCCTTTGTGAGAGCATGGATGAAACTGGAGACCATTATACTAAGTGAAATAAGCCAGGCAGTGAAAGACAAATACCATATGATCTCACCTATTAGTGTAACCTAATCAAAACAAACAAGCAAGCAAAATATAACCAGAGACATTGAAATAAAGAACAAACTGCCCTAGCTAGTGTGGCTCAAGGGATTGAGCATGGGCCTGCAAACCCAAGAATCACCAGTTTGATTCCCAGTCTAGGGCACATGCCTGGTTTTCAGGCCAGGTCCCTGGTAGTGGGTACTCGACAGGCAACCACACATTCATATTTCTCTCCCTCTCTCCCTCCCTTCCTCTCTCTAAAATAAATAAATAAAATCTTTTTTTAAAAAAGAACAAACTGAGAGTAACCAGATGGGA